AAAAAAAAGATCGTACCAATTTTTATTTACCATAGTCAAATGCTGAAATGAATGTAAGGTCTACAACAAGAGAATTTTTTATTATTATGTATTCATGAAATGCAATACTATTTACTAAATACAAAGAATAATCTCTTGGAAGCCAAAATAAAGATGAGTCTCAAAGACATTACATTGAGAGAATTAAGCTAGTTAGGAGAATGTACATGCCTCATGCTTGCATTCATAGGAGTCTAGGAAGGGTTTACCTAATCCATCCTGATAGAGATTAGATGAGTGTTGCCAGTTGGGGTTGGAGATTACCTGGGAGGAATCATTAGAAGTTTCTGGAATGATAGAAATAGTTCCCTTTTTGTTTGGGATATTRGTTACATAGTGCGTGAATTTGTCAAAGATTATTGGATTTATTGAACTGTGAAATATTATTGGACTCAAGATTTTACAATCAGTTGTTTATGAGTTTTCAGGGATGTTAAGCATAGATTTAGATACTATTCAGTTGGAGGCATCCATCGCTATGAAAAAGTTTCTAATGTGAAGAGCTTCTAGGGAGCAAAGTTTATTTTCACTCATGGTTTCATGGGTTTCAGTCCATAGTCATTTGGACTGTTGCTTTGGCCTGTGGTATCATGATACATCATGGCAGGTGTGCGTGATGGAGGAAGCCTGCTCACCCCATGGTAACTGAGAAACAAAGAGAGACAGAAAGGGTCCAGGATCCCAATGCCCACTTTGTGGGTTTGAGTCAGTGATTTAACTTCCAACCATGAGGCCTGACTTCCTGAAGATTCCATTATCTTTTARTATTGCCAAAGACCATGGGCCAACCCTTTCACACATAGGTCTTTGGCCACATTTCTGCTCTAAACTTTAGCCATAACCACTGTGATGGACAGGCACAGGTGGGGAGAGGTGTTCATCCCTCCTCTTCAGAAGGCTTCCTCAAGATGTCCAGGATGACAGTATAGCAAGACAGCCGGAGGAGGATGGAGGAAAGAGAGATCAATTCAGTGTTGGGGAACACAGTCACCTCGTGGGGAAAGCTCTCAGCCCAGGCGATCTTGAGGACAGGATGGACACCACAGAAGCACTGGGCAATGATGTTGGGAACASAGCAGGGTAACTGGACAGAGAAAGGATCTGAACCATAGAAGGAATTATGCCCTGTTGAGAAGTCATCCATCAAACAGTAACAGACAGGTAGGATTATAGTTTTTTTATATTARAGAGTCTTGCACATATCCCAGTGRTCATAATTCATCCCTGTGAACAGGAGGAACGCCTCACCCTCAAGACGCTGAAGAAAAATGTCTGAAATAGCCAGGTCACTTTCAGAATTAGGAGGTCATTGTCCACACTGTGGCCAGGTACATGGGAAGGAGCACCACAAACACACTCTCTACCCGTCTGGATCCAGGAAAGGCCAGTGATAATTACCTCTGTCACATTTGTGTTGGTCTCAGATTTAGTTCAAATGTGTTAGAAGCCAGGCATTGAGAAGCATGTTGTAAAATAGTGATTCAAACACCACCTGACCCCACTTATAGCACTTTAGAGAGTGCATTGCAATGTACAACACCAAAAAACCAAACAACTCAATCAATAAATGAGCCAAGGAACTGAACAGACGCTTCTCAGAAGAAGATATACAAGTGATCAGCATACTTATGAAAAAATGTTCAACATCTCTAGGAATTAGAAAAATGCAGATCAAAATTACTTTAAGATTTCATCTCACTCCAGTTAAGAAAGGCAGTCATCAAGAATACAAGCAATAATAAGTGTGGGCAAGGATGTGGGGGAAAAGGTACACTCATACATTGCTGGTGGGACTGCAAATTGGTACAACACTTTTGAGGAGATTCCTTAGAAAACCTGGAATGGAACCACCATTTGATCCAGCTATCCCACTCCTCAGTCTATACCCAAAGGATGTAAAATCAGCATATTATTGTGACACAGTCACATCAATAGCAGCTCAATTCGTAATAGTTAAACTGTGGAAACAACCTCAGGTGCCCATCAATAGATGAATGGATAAAGAAACTGGATACACACACACACACACACACACACACACACA